TAATGATACACTTATGTAAATTATACATAGCAAGTTTTAGATTAATTTAATATATCTAATTATTTTATTAATTATATAGGATTTAATACTATTAAATATATATTAAAAAATATAATTTATTGATCAAATTATTATAAATGTTAAACCAACTTAAAGATTGTTATTCATAATTTACATGAATAAATTATATCATCCAATAATTAGTTTTAAAAAATATTTAAAATGTGATGTTTTTAAAATTAAGACGTTAATTTTTAAAAAAAATTAAAATTAATATGTTTTATTTTCATTTAAAGAATAGTTAATTAAGAAAATTAATTTTCAAAATATTACTTCATCAATTTTGAAAAGTAATCCTTTTTTAGTTATCCACTGACACCAAACTTAAACGGTGGAGTAATAAACTCTATCTCAAACCAAAAGAAAATATCTTACAGATCATTTTAGTAAGTATTACATTGTTGCTATAATTTTATGCATAAAGTATTGTGATGGGTGACTGCCCATGGAGATATCTTTTTCACCTTTTGTGCCCTCCTTGATGGGATGTTAAATTGAGTACCAAAGTTTTTAATAGTAATAAAGTAGCTGAGAAAATAAGAAAAAGCTAAAAAGGATTTAATAAAAATATTAAGAAATTATTATAACAATTTTTTATATGAATTTTTTTTTTTTTTTTTTAAGAAAGTTTAATAATAAAAAAATTAAAGAGAAAATGTCAAGTAAATTCTTCATTACCAAAGCTAAGGGAACTGTTTTCCTTTTAAGAATACATGGAAAGGAAAGAAAAATTAGTTATAAAGGATTGTATAAAAAAATAAAGTATAAATATATTAATTTTATTTTTTATTTATTACAATAAGTGTATAAAATTTTTTTTCCACAAAACCTAACAAACCCTTTATTCCCAAATTGAAGATTTTGCAGACAACAACCCATTGTCTTGGACATAAATAGGAATCTGATGTTATCCCATTCTCATCCCTCATATCCACCCTCTCTCTAGCTTTTCTTCTCTTCCTCCCAATGACTCAAAACCCTTAAAGAAGCCCATTTTAAATTGGAAAAACCAGAAGGATCTGACCAATCCCTTTTTCTCCTTCACAGGCTGAATCAGCTTCGATTGGTAGGTTTTCTGTTCTCTGTTTTCTCCTCCAGAAACCACAATCTCCATTTCCCACTTCCTCTCTCCTCTTTTCTCCTCTAGGGTTTGGTCTAGATTCTCCTCTTTTTCATCATTTTCTTTTATTTTCTTAACTTGTTTTGGAAAAAATACAGTCTTTTAATCATCTGCTACAGTAGTCTGTTGGTGTTTACTTTTTTGCTTAAGTTGGTTAGTTTTGGCTGAAGGGTCAGATTGAGAATGACGAGACAGAAGATTGAGATAAAGAAGATTGATAACAGGGCGGCGAGGCAGGTGACCTTCTCAAAGAGGAGACGAGGGCTTTTCAAGAAGGCTCATGAGCTCTCAACTCTCTGCGACGCCCAGATTGCTCTCATTGTCTTCTCCACCACCGGAAAGCTCTTCGAGTACTCGAGCTCAAGGTTTTTTAATTTTCACATTAATTCTCTCTTCTTGTTTTCTTTTCTTTTTGTTTGCAATATTTGAGCATATAGTTATTTAATCATGATTTTAATTAGTTTTAATTCTTGCATTTAATTGATTGATATCTGATGTTTATGACTGTACTACTAAAAATATCTTTATATAATCATGATCTGAGGGAGAGAGGAAGAGAGAAGTTGCTTTAAAAGAAGATCTAATTGTACTATTGCAATGTTCTCTTATTGTTTCTCTCGTGAAGTGCTATTATATATATCACCATTAACATGCGTTTTTTTATGTGTTTTTGACGACTCATGATGCATGGGGAGCTGTCACAGGGTGAGAAACTTATAACAGTCAAGTGATGTAAAATAGTATATGTATGTTGATTCACATATTTTAATTGTCTTATGAAAATTGCTTAATTAGACAAATTATCTATTAATTTTTTCATGGTTGTAGTCTAAAATTTTTAATTTCTTCTAAATTTTGATATTAATTTTTAAGTTTGCATCAATTTCTTCTACTTTACAGAATTCTTTTAGATAGATTAATAAAAATCCATGTTATCCCTTGCGTGGTACCATGTAAACTGCTATGTAAACAACACATGGTTTGAAAACAGAGAAAAAATTCCCTTATCTTTTTGTTTCCCTAAACTAATTAACCACAAATAATTAATTAAATTATAATCTAATCTAATTAAAACAAAACTCCATTAAAATAACAAAAAAATTATATATTCAGTCCATGTGTTGTTTATGTGGTAGCTTATACCACATCATGTAAGTGATGACATGGTCTTCTCTCACATTCTTGTGAATGAGATTGTATTAAGTAGATGAAACTGATACAATTTTAAAAGTTAATAAACAATTTTGGAAGAAAAATAACAATTCTAGACTAAAATGAAAAAAGTAATAATTTGTAGATAATTTATTAAATTAAGCTTGTTAAAATAGTCACTTATTATTACATAAATTTTAGAAATGAGATCAAATTATACATATGTAAAACTTCTATATCTTACATAGTTTATTGGCCATCAACTTCATGAATCCAAGGGGTGATATAGTGATAAAATATTTAATAATGAATTTCTCAACTTATCAAATATAATATCATTTATATTTCAACAAATGAACTTGTGATATTAATAGTTATAATTACGTAAATGGATCTTGATTCTAAATTTTAAGACAATTTATATTGAGTTTTTTGTTTTTTATAGTTTGGTTATGGATTGTAAAATAGAAACCATTGGATGAAGAAGGAAGCCCCCTTTATTAAGAGTTACCTCCAATCAAATGGTTAAAATTGTGTAATTCAAAACAGGCTGGATTGTACAAAACTTTTTTCGATTTATATTTTACAAGAAGTATAAGAATTTGTTTGGTCCACCTTCTAAAATGATATTTTTTGTTGTAAAAGTTAAAAGGTGGTCAAATGCAATTTTTGAAATGCTTTATAAATTTTTTGGAATCTATTTTCAACCTCTAAGAGGTTGAATTTGAAACTAAAACCAATTACTTGTAGTAGATATTTTGCTATTAAACTACTAAATTATAAATATTTTATATGATTTCGTAATCAAATTTTTTGAAAAGCATTTATTTTAATATAACTTCCAAAATGGTTATAATTCAATCAAACATAATAACCATTCACAATCAATCTAAAAATTATTATTTTTATTGGGCCTTAAACTTGTTATTAGGTGTTTTTAAGAGACTTATTAGATATTTATTGAGAGTTAGAGAATTTTTCAAAGAATTTATTGAATTTTTTTAAAGTACAAATTTAGCAATTTTAATAAAATGATGAGATAGTAAGATTAAAAGACTAGACATTTCCTTTTTGGTCTTTTCGTATATTCATTGTTTAGCTATCCACCAAATTCATAACATGCCTTGTATTGGTAACAAATCGATTTTAATAGAGATTCCCTTCTATTAAAATGGCAAAGCTTTACACAGAATGATTTTATTGTCTGAAAAACAAACCACAAAACGCCACATCATATTGTAGAAAGTTAAATTACATTGCCCAGAGAATCGATAATTTTAGTTATCTAAACCAAACTACCAACAGACATAACGATATAGTGATTGGCATCTCCTTAGAGCAAAACTGATAGGCTTTACTTTAGACATTAAAATAGAAAATCTCACAATTATAAAAATAACAAAATAAGAGACATGTTAATTAAATGTAATAGGGCAACTACACTTATTACTAACTGATTTTAGGTTAGACGTAAGTCTTATATTTTGGTTCACATATTAAATTTTTACCTACTATCAAAACCTCTGTTATATGAGAAATCTAAACTCTGTTATTTGAAAGTGAAGATCCTATGACAGGTCAAACATTTGAACCTACCCCCAAGGAACAATTAAAAACCAATGAGTTTCTTCAAAGAAAATCCAAAAACCAAGGATGGTAGAGGCCGAATAATTTTGACCTAAACTAGCCAATTGAGTGAAAAATAAGTAGAAAACCAACACCAACGACCGAGAGAACGAATGAACTGAATATAACGAAGAAAAAATTGAGTGAGAAGAGTTCAGGAGATTTAAAATTTGAGATTTTCTTAATGGGCTATTTTGTGATTTCAAAACATTAATGTACCCTTCGGCCAAAAAAAGATAATGCGCCTACTAATTTTTTTTTTCAACATATTAAGAGGGTATATGCTTCTTTACCATACCGAATTCGCACGTGAAGAGGGCTTTGTTTAAATTCAAACATTCAATTTTTACATTGGACTCTTATCTTGAATCCAATCCTGATTATGGTAATCTTTTCTGTTTGGTGTATTAACCGATATTTTAGGCCGTCATGTTGGAAGGTTAAGAGATTATATTCTTTTAGGGCAATTTGGGGGGGTTAAGGGTTAAGGTGGAAGGTTTACAATGACCCAGTAGCTGCTGTTTCTTTAGCGTCGAAGGAAGAAGTGGAGTTTCCTCTCCCATATCCTTTTTTCTACTTTTTGATAAGCCAAAAATTCTATTAACTTGGGTTCCCTTTGTACCCAAACCCATAAACATCCCTAAATCAAGAAACCCTGCAATTCTTGTCTCCTCACCCTTTTAACATCGGATTCTGATACCCAAGCCTTAACAAACCAGTGCAAATAAAACGAGACAAATGTTGTTTTTCTCTCAAAGCACACCTTGGGTCTGAATTCCAAAGTTCCAGTGGCAAATCAGGTTTCAAACTTGCCCTCAACCAGTAGTACGATCTGTATTTAACTAATTGCACTACTTCCCCCACCTTAATTCGTTCATTGTTGAATGTTACCTGGTTCCTTTGAAGCCATATTGACCAAACAAAAGCTAACCACACCGCCACCCATGCTTGTTTTAATTCTTTGTTTCCGATTAATCTTGCACGCTGTTTGAAATTCGCAATGATGTTCATATTTGTTACAGCTGAAATAGCCCACCAAGAATAGCATGATGCCCACACATTCCATGATTGTCCATATTTCTCTCCGATATCTTGCTTAAGAGATTACTTTGTTTTTAAGACTGCTGTAGGGTAGCTAAATTTATGTCTCCTACATTAAGCCTCAGGATTTATGTATTAATGACACTTTTTATGGTTCTTTGGTGGCTGCTCATTTCGTTATGGTGAATGTGTTTTCAGTCTATTAATGGTTTGCTTTCTTCTGTACCTGTGTAATTTTATCCATGTTTTTCTATTTATTCAAAATCAGTAATTAACCTGTAACATGTTTTTGCCATATATAAGCACGAAGGAGACGCTTGAGAGGCTCAATCTGCACCCAGATAGGCCCAACAGATTAGCACATCCCTCTCTCGAGCAGCAGGTATAAGCCTGGTTGACACCTTTTCTCTATACTTGTATTAATTATTAATTAAGGCTTATTAGAAAGATATAATTTCTCATGAATCTCTTAATCCGTAAGCAGATATAATCCAGTTTTGATAAGATTGTTAGGAAAAAGGTATATAAATCATATAAAGAAAAGGAAAGAAGTGTTTTGAGGCTTGGAACAAAATTATTATCCTTGGGATATCAAAAGGCTTGCATCTATTTATAGTGACTGAAAAGATATATAACCAACAGTTATATCATTTAACCAAAAGTTATAACCTTTCAATAGACATGACTTTTCACAATGAATAGTTATATCTATTCATTCAAACTAAATGGTTGTGTCCATTTGATTAATAGTCATGTTTCTTAGAAAATTTTGTATTCAAAATTGAATTCATGCAAACTTGACATAATTTGTCTATCAATGTCAAGCCTACGATAGTAACATTTTAAACCACCTTGAATATTCGGTTACAATTATCAACCTTTTCAAACAAAATATCCAACAAAGAACAGTGCTGGAAAAATAATGAAGGCTGGAATTGACAATGTATATGTTGAAAACATTTGCCTTTATATATGTTTTTGATCAGATGGAGAGTAGTAAGATTGCCAAATTGAGTGGGGAAATAGCAGACAGGACCCATGAACTCAGGTACACAATTGCATGCACCTAATTAATAATGTCAGACTTTAATATTGCATTAACATTTTATGGGGGAATTAATGAATATAACCTTGGCTCCTATAACAGGCAATTGAGGGGAGAGGAGCTCCAAGGGCTGAACATTGAAGAACTGCAGCAACTTGAGAAGCAGCTTGAAGGAAGCTTGAGTCGAGTTATGGAAACAAAGGTTTCTGAATCTGCTCAATCCCTGTCTTCTCCATCTAGTTAGTTTAATTACCAATTTATTATAATGTACATTTTGGAATGCTGAAGATTGATCAGAATTCATCTGCATCTTAGGGTGAACGATTTTCCGAAGAGATCAGCAACCTCAAGAAGAAGGTGAGATACATAAGCGCCTAGTGAGTTGTTTAGTATGCTACCAATGCTTAGACAGAGTCGACATTCATATATGGGATATGATTCATGAGCCGAAAAAATTGAGGCCAAAATCAGTGCCAAAATTTTCCTTTAGTTGATTCACTTGACCTCGTATTATCAACAACGGGGAATTTTTAGACTTGCTTTTGTATATGCTTGGATTTTTTGGTGTATATGTGCATGATTTTGTAAGTACAGGGAAAATTAGTAAACTTGAATATGCAGGGAACAGAATTGATGGAAGAAAATGAGAGATTAAAGCAGCAGGTGAGTGTGCTTACTGTCATGACTGCTCATGTTCATCTTCTCGCTCGTTTTTCTGATTTTGAATGATGACAAAGGGTAAAATCTTGTTTAGATGAAGAGTGCATGTAGATGTGGAGCCCGTCAATCTATATCCGAGCAAGATCTGCAAAAACAGTCATCAGAATCAGCTCCTCAGCTCGTTCGCACCTTATCTGATCCTCCTGAGCACGTTGATGAGGGTTCAGACACCTCTCTCAGATTGGGGTAAAATCATGCTTATCATGTACTTAAGTACATGAGAGGCTCTAACGTTTACATGCCTAAGTTAATGTTTGAACGTGCAGGTTACCTTTCCCGAACTGATAAATAGAGTATCTAACCAATTCAAGGTAGAAAATGGAGTTGCTCCCTCGGCAAAGACAATTACGTAAGTGAAGTCATGGAATCATCTTATTTAAAATTGCAGAGATGTGATGTTTGAGCAAATACAAGACCCTTCTGCAAGTTGTTTTCTAGTGTTCTTTTTTAATGTGAGGTATCACTCATATGTGTAACTATCTGATGTGTGTGTGGATCTGTGTGCATATGTATCATACTTCATTTGATAATTTTAACTCAATATTGTTATTATTCGCTGCATTTGTTCTTTTTAGATGTTGTCGGGGGAACCACATAAAGATGGGGTGGGGCATGGCTTTACTTCAAGTCTAAAAAAAAATTAAAGATAAAGGGGCTTACTTTGATTAAAGTTATGGGAAAAGAATATCAAATGTCTTATCTTAAATCTAATGGTACAGATAAAAAAAAAAAAACATTGAAGTTCGGATTGAAAAGAAAAAAAGGCTGGTCTTCCATCTTCCTCTGGTCTGCTCGTTTTACTTTTATTTTTATATGGTTTGACTCAATGCTCTTAATAGCGAATAAATGATTTTTCTTCAAAGAATGTTTTAAATGTGTGATTATTATAAGAGTTAAGAGTATATTTATTATATTTTTTAGTATTAAAATTAGTGTAAAAAATTATAAAAGTAAAATTTATTTTCAATGTTAATATCATATAAAATAATTTAATTAGATGCATGTTCAAAAAAAAAAAAAATTTAATTAGATAATTAATAAAATTAAAAGATTGTTCAAGGATGTAATATTATCTCTTTTTTGTAATTAATTTACATAAAAAAAATTAATATTTATTTTAATATTATTGATACGTGAATGATCATAATATATTAATTGATTAAATTAAAATTAATATTTACATTTTTAATAAAAATTAATTGTAATAAAATATATCAATTATATTTTTAATCTATACATTGAGAGTATAGAATAAAAAAAAATTTAAAATTAATGTTAATTTTTATTTTTTTTTATATAAATTAATAATTAAAAAGTATAATAAATATGTTATTTATTTATGTCTTACTGCCACATATTAAAAAAATACTTTTTAAAATATTTTACTCTTTTATCTAGTTTTTGTGCACTAGTTTGGCTTGATAAAAAAAATTAAAAATTTAGTTATTATTTATTTTAAATGTACAAAAGTATTAAAGTTAAATCATGTCTAGAAGTCAAACTAACAAGAGAAAAAAAACAAAAATGATGTTGTTCCATTTTTGCATTATATTATAATTATAAATTTATAATTACAATATATAATAATATAATTATTTTATTTTATTTAATATTTTTTAATGTTATTTGTATTTATTTATTTAATAATATAATATAATTATAAATTTTTAGTCTAAAAGTACTTCAAGGTCAAAAAAATAAATTTTAAAAAATTTTTTGCAAATAAAGCTTTTTTAAAAAATAGACAAAAAATCAAGACCTAATAATAAAACATTATAAATAATAATAAAAAATTAAATAATTTAACACTAAAAAAAATCCATTATAAATGTTTAAGTAATTTCTTAAACAATACTTACATTTTAAACAGCGGTACATCTTTATTTTCATTTTTCTAGTAAAAATACCTTATCAATGTATAGAGGCCTTAAGGTTAGATGTTAACCGTTATAGGTTCACTAGTCTTGCGGGTATAGCTCACTTTCTCAAACTATCACGCCTTCACACGCTCCCACAGCCTCCAACTAATTCTCCACGTGTTGCCCTCTAAATTCTCCATTAATCCACGCGCTTAAACTCGCGTGGATTTAGCTCTATCCTCTAGCCTCGGTACCGTTATTTCCCGCTAAAGACCTGTTCTAGTTTGACGCACACATAAACCCAACTCCCTCCTCCTCCCTTCATTTCACTTTTCAATTACAGGGATTTGCAGAATTGGTGAGGCGTCAGCCATGGATGAAGAGTACGATGTGATAGTTCTCGGGACAGGTCTCAAGGAATGCATTCTTAGCGGTCTTCTCTCTGTTGATGGACTCAAAGTAAATTTCTTCTCTATATACATTTCAGTCTCCCTCCTGTTTGATTTTGATTTTATTCCTCAATGACCTTCTCTTGTGTGAATGCTGATATTTATGTTTTTTTCTGGTCTGTATTTGAATTCTATCAAGTGGGAAAATCTCATATTAATTAATTAAGTAAAGGGTTTCTTTATTGTAGTCTTATGTTTCTCTACCTGTTGTGAATTGGTTTTAGTTCATTAAGAAATTTTGATTTTTGTTTTTTTTTTTTTCCGTAAATCTTGACTTTGATTAGGATAGACAGAAGGGATTTGTTTGTTTTTCTATGTCATAATTAAGGATTCAAAGATTGGCTAATTCTTGGTGTTGGCATCTGTTAATTGAATGAGCTGTATAGATCCTTGATGATTAAAATTTTAACCAATATGTATGTAAACAAGTTGATAAAGGGGACTTCATTTTCTTAATCTACGGCATTTATCTTGTGTTGTTCTCAAATTGTGAGATAATTAGATGGTTATGAAGTTTTATTGTATATTTCTTAGAAGGTAAGTAGGGTATTTGATAAACGTGGAATCTTTAGGAACTTCCCCTGTAATTTGGTAGGCCACTAGGTCCAAGCAACAAGAATTTCACTAATATACCATTTATTGGTGCAAAATAAAAGATCTAACTCTATACAATGGCTAAAGTTACCATTACAGGGCATAATTTCCATTGGTTTTTAATTTTTTTTTGGATAGAAATGGTTTCATTCTAGGCTTTGATCTTGTTTGTATCCCTCACGCTTTCATTTACTTGTTTTCTGATGTTCTTTAAGGATTTTGCTAATGTTTGAACTTGCTTAAAGAATTAGCTGTCTTATTAAAATTTGGTTATCTTCAAAAATTTTTGTTCAACATTTTAATTTTATTTGTCCATAAGAACAACGTCTTCTCTTTTATATTTCTTTTACAAATTTCATTATCGATCACTATTTACGAATGTGATAGATATTTAACATGCTTTCAATAGAATTCCTTTCATTGTTCCTTTGAGTGCTTGTAGAAGTTTTTTTGATGGTAAATTGTAGAAAAATTCTGTGGCCTTTACATGAAGAAGGTTTTATTTTAGTGAGGAGTATCTTTGAAATTGTAATGCTTCCTTGAAACCCACTCCTTTTTTTCTTGGCTCCTATTGGTTTTATTTGACTGCTATATAAATATGCATTTTAAACAGGTATTGCACATGGACAGAAATGACTATTATGGAGGAGAGTCAACTTCTCTCAATCTTACACAGGTCATTTTCCTTATCATTAATTGACAGAACTTCCCCTTTTGCAAAAATAATCCCTATTTGTTTTATCTATATGTTTCTCTCCCTTATTTTATAGCCTTTTCTTTTTGCTGTATAGCTCTGGAAGCGTTTCAAGGGAGATGATAAGCCTCCAGAAGACCTGGGCTCAAGCAAGGAGTATAATGTTGACATGATTCCTAAGGTTTTCTGAGGCCTCTATACTAGTAGCAAAACAATTGCTTCCTAATATGTTGCCTCTAGTACTTATTTACTTGGACTCTATGTTCAGCAAAATTTTTCCTTTTTGCACTAACATGCCTAGAATATCACTTTTGAAATCCAACAACTAGGTGTCTTTTCCTCTTTATATTTTTTGATGAAAGCTTAATTTGCTTTTGCAGTTCATGATGGCTAATGGTGGCCTGGTCCGTGTTCTCATCCACACCAATGTTACCAAGTATCTCAACTTCAAGGCTGTAGATGGTAGTTTTGTGTATAACAAAGGGAAGGTAAGCGTCTTGTTTAACTTACGAAATCTTTGGTTTCTAAGCCTAATTGTTGGCAATAATTTAAAGGACATTATTCATTTTAGATCTACAAAGTTCCAGCAACTGATGTTGAAGCACTGAAATCACCATTAATGGGGCTATTTGAGAAGCGCCGTGCAAGAAAGTTTTTCATTTATGTCCAAGACTATGAAGAAAATGACCCAAAGTCTCATGAAGGACTGGACCTGAACAAAGTTACTGCAAGACAGGTTATCTCGTATGTATCTCTTGCTCATCTCCTTTCCATGACTTGCTCCAATTCTTATATAATATGTAACAGTTATGAGTTTTTGTGTGAAATTGTCGGTTAAAACTTCTTCTTCACTAAATTCTAATTAGGTCTCTGGATTCACCATCACTTCTCTTTCACTTTTTTTTCATATAGCCAAAGAATTTATGTTGACAAAGGTTTAAATAAAGGAATCTAGCTGACTTTCGTTTATGTGGTATTTGATTCAGAACAATGGGAAAACATTGATGGTTTATATCTATTTATTTTAATTTCTAGTTGTTATTCTGTATTTAATCTAAATCTGGAGTTCAACTAAGGCAAGTTTACCTGGCAATGGCAATGAGCCATCTATGCCATTGCCATTGCCATTGCTAGGTAAACTTGCCTTAGTTGAATATCTAGCTAACATGGTCTTGATTCTTCTTTCAAACGTGATGTGGAACATGTACTATACTAAACAGGTAAACTTGCCTTGGAAATGTCTTGTTATGACTAAACAGGGAGATCAATTGTCTATCTAGCTAAACTAAGCCTAATGTGTTGACTTTACATCTCAAAGTTCCATGTGTCTATATGTTTTTGTTGTGTCCTTAAAGTGTAGCTTTAGCTAACATGTTTTACTCCAATCTGTTTTTTTCTTCTTTTTTTTTTTATTCAAGGAAATTCTGAAATATATATGATCGTCAAGTTCCTCCTCATTTGGACTGATTATCAAAAAGACAATCAACTCTTATAGTTTGAATCTTCTTTCAATTTTCCTAGCTCTTACTTTGCGTTTGCAATTTCAGATTTATAGCCCTTGAAGCATGCCTTTTGTTTTCTCTTTTAATGTAGAAAGTATGGCCTAGAAGATGATACAATTGATTTCATTGGCCATGCCTTGGCACTCCACATTGATGATAGTTACTTGGATGAGCCAGCATTGGATTTTGTAAAGAGAATGAAGGTGAAATCATGTTTTATTTTGATAGAGTTCTGAAGTTGCTCGTTCTATAACGATGAACTTGATAGAGTTTTTTTGAACTTTATCTTGACTTCGTTAAGAGACCATATGATGTTCCAACCAAAATGGAAACCGTATATGATGTAAGACTAGTACAAGAATATATTGGCAATTATTGGCTGTAATAAAAGCAGTAAATTTTGTAGACTATTATGCTAGGAATCATTACAACCAATGGAATGCCACATTGGTCACCAGAAACTATGATATTTTTCCTTGAAAAAATTTCTCGTTCTACATTCTCTTTAGCCTTGAATTAATACCTGCACACATCTTTTTACCCTTCAGAATTATGAAATATCTAAGGATTTTGCTTTTGTTTTTAAAGCTCTATGCAGAATCTTTGGCACGGTTTGAAGGAGGATCTCCTTATATCTATCCACTCTATGGACTAGGAGAATTGCCTCAGGTTTGCTTCCATCATAATTTTATTTTCCAAGGTTAAAAGAAAATTCAATTGCTTTGGCATCTATTGTGTTAATCTTGACAGGCATTTGCTCGTTTAAGTGCTGTTTATGGTGGAACTTACATGCTCAACAAGCCAGAATGTAAGGTAGATCTCCTAAACTATTTTGAAAACCAGAATGTTGACTTGATTCTATTAGGTGCGTTAGTCATACAGCTTAGGTCTTGGGGCTTAACTACTTAGGTGCATGCTCTAGAAAAATGCCTCGGTCAGGTGCAAGCCCTATTCTCCGACTTGGTTTTTATGCTTGTAATTTTTTGCTAAATCAAATTGCTTTTCTGATTTAGTGGTTCATCAATATATGACTAACAAAGAGTATTGTCAAGTTGAATTCTGTTAATTTTGGCAAGGCAAAGATTTTACATTTTTTTCTCTTTTCAAACTTTTATGATGATTTATACTTTGGATGGCAGGTAGAGTTTGATGGCAGTGGTAAAGCCATTGGTGTGACCTCTGAAGGAGAAACAGCTAAGTGCAAGAAAGTTGTTTGCGATCCCTCTTATTTGCCAGATAAGGTAACCTCTAAAATACTTCAAAGCCATATGATCCAGCTCAGTTAAAAAAATGAAAATTCGCATCCATGACCACTAATTATGTACCTTTTTTTCTGACAATTCTCTCTGAATGTAACAGGTTAAAAAGGTTGGAAGAGTTGCTCGTGCGATATGTATAATGAGCCATCCCATCCCTGATACTCATAATTCCCACTCAGTACAAGTGATTTTACCTCAGAAGCAACTTGGTCGTAAATCCGATATGTAAGTTCAAGACTTCCTTAGCCAATTTTTGTTCCTTCTTTTGACAATAATAGGCTGATAAAAACACCTATGAAAAAAATTATAGTCCTTAAACTTCAGAATTTACTACTTGTTATCTTCATTTGTGTAGTTTTAGGTTGTTGTATGTATGATCTCAAGTTCAACATTATAAATGGGTCTGTTTGCTCGTGGTAAGCGGCTGTATAGAACTCTCTGGGTTATGTGAACAAGAATAATCATCTTGGCTGTTGTTACTGGGCAGGTACCTCTTTTGTTGCTCATATGCTCACAATGTAGCTCCCAAGGGAAAATTCATTGCTTTTGTTTCAACAATAGCAGAGACTGACACACCTGAGGTAGAACTGAAGCCTGGAACTGATCTACTGGGACCTGTAGATGAGATATTTTATGATATTTATGACAGATATATCCCAGAAAATGACAGTGAAGCTGACCACTGCTACATATCTACCGTAAGTAGAACTTCTGCTTCCATTGTTTCTCTAGATACATGCTTTCTTTTTGTCAGCGTAAAAATGCTTAAGCAATTAAAGCATCAAAGTATTTTAATTTATTGCAGAGTTACGATCCAACAACACACTTTGAAAGCACAGTGAATGACGTGCTTGCAATGTATAGTAAGATTACCGGAAAGGTAAATACCAGAACTCATAACAAGAATTCTTGTTGCTTAACAGGAGATTGAAGCACTTTCTTATGTTTAAATTCCATTATGATCTAGTTTGTCCTTCTCATAGCTAATTAAAATGGCATTATGGTTGGTTTTTGCATGAATTGACATTTTTTTAGAAGTGCCCTATTTTACGGTCTAGACTTCATTGGATTGTAAAACAGTGGGCATTGGATGGAGGTGGAGTCCAAATATCAAAGGGTCCACCCTCATCCAATGATTATGGTTGTCTAGTCTGGTACAGTCTAGACTACACAACACTTTTTCCTTTTTCTTTTCTTTTTTAGCTAGTTAGGACCAAAAGTAACATTATCATTTTCCTTTTTTCCTTTGTATTGGCTGTGCAGACTCTTGATCTAACTGTGGACCTCAGTGCTGCAAGTGCTGCTGCTGAAGAATGACGTTCTTCTAAGCTTTTTACTTTACATGCAAAGCCATAAGCAGAGGGGCTTAATTCTCCCTTCTGCTTTCATTTTTTTTATATGCAAAAACCAAACTAGCTACATTTTTAATATTTAATTCTCGTTTTATTTGTATCAGCTGCATCCCAAAATTATGATTGGGTTGGCTCTTGAGCTTGGGATCACAAGGACATTTGTTTACTTCTCCTTTTAGTCTTGCTTTAAATGAATTAAATAGTTGCTTCCCTTCAATTACAATTTTTGCTCTAGGGTTGAATTTCCTATTCTTACTAGAAATTAAATATTTCAAGGAATGTTTTACTTTTGTTTGGTTCGAGAGAAATGAAAGGGAAGGGGGGAGTTTTTTAAAATATTATAATTTAATTGGTTAAAAAAACCTTTTTTTGTTTTATTTCTTTTCAACTCAAACATACCATAAAAAATATCATTTAAGTAGAGCATTTTGTAGAAGTGTTGGGGTTTGAGTTTGTTTATTATTATTATTATTATTTGGATAATAGGAAGTTTGTTTGATATAGCTAAAGTTTGTGTAAAATTATTAGTTTAGTGTAACTTTAATTATATAAAAAATTACTAAATAGTAAACATGTAAAAATTTAAGATTTTAAATTAAAATTTTATATTTAATATTGTAAACAAATAAAATCACTTAATTATTAATCGAAGAGGTTAATCTTTAATATTAGAATCTATCCTTTATCAATAATTAAAAAGGCAAATTGTATTATAACATTCTTTCTTAATGACTAATTTTTTTAAACGTAAAGCATGTTTTTTTATTATAAAAAAATGAAAAAGAAAAAATCAAGGATGGATATCTAATAATAACCTTATAATGAATTAATAAAATTTTCTCATTCAAAATATTCAAATTTCTTTCTCTATTTAATTATTTTCGGTAAAAAAATTCTATTTAGGCCCATGCTCGAGCCCAGCCCAGAATAAGAACAGATAACACAACACAGTAGAAACGGAGTTACGTTAAAGGAGTGGGTCGCACTGCCCCCTTTTCCATGCAGATTCAGAACTTGTCATGGAAGCTGACGCAGCACAGAAAGTTTCACTTTTCCCCTGATACGATTGCCAAATTTGATCCCAAAATCGTCGTCATCGGGTTTCTTGAGTTCAATGGAGCAAGCGCAACCGAGCAGGACTCGCACGGCGGGTTGCCGGCGGAGCAATCCGTTCGTCGTCTTTGATTTTGCCGAAGAGGACGAGCGTGTGGAGAAGGATGCCGAGATGCTTCTCTGCAGGTTTAAGCAAAGGAAACGCCGCCAATCGGTTTCTCCTATTGATAACCATACTTTCCTCAAATGCTGTAAGTCCCTCTCCCACTGATTTTTCATTTTCCTTTTTCCTAATGAAGCCAAGGGATCGGCTTTGTTTCGGAGGTGAGGAAGTTCGGAAATTAATTGGCATCAAAACTGAGACAATTAGTCTATTCTGATTTCGGTTTTGTTTCTTTTCAATGTTGTTAAGATTTTCTTTCCTTTTTAAAAAAATTATTTGGGATTGATCAAAATGTGCCTGTTTCGTTGATGGGAAAATGTAGGAAGAAAAGCGGTTATAACTTCATCAATTGCTGAGGAAATGTAGAAACAGAAATTAAAAAGATTTGAGTTTTAGGGTGTTGTCCTGATAACAAAAAAGAAACAGGAAAGGAAAACTTCTACTGCTACTTCCGCAACTCTGTCTATTCTCATGAACTTGCTTAAGATGTTTGTTTTCTACATTTCACTTTAGGAAAGTGAGAATATTTCCCTTGTTTCTTAGACCTTGCATACATTGTGGCATAGATTTACTTATTTACTGTTTGTATTAATAATTAATGATAAATAGAAATACAAATTATTTTGAAATTTATTTTAATAGTTTTTTCTACCATGTAGTTGCACCAATTCCTACTCAGCAAAGGGTAATTAGCAGCACACTAATTGATCTTGATAATGAAGGTATGGAGATAACTAGATTTGCTGTTAATTCTCTTCTTATTTATTTATTTTTATTGTGGGGGGGGGGGGGGGGGCATTTTTTTATTCTTTTCCCCTGGTTTATAGCCTTAGGGCCACACTTATGTTCTTTTCTGTTTAAATGCTTGGCTCTTTCCATGCTCTTGTATCTCTGATTAATAGAAAGGTATACAAAAACATCTGTATTCTCCAAGCCTGAGAAATTCTCTCTGGTAAAGAAGTATCCTTCAAATGTTTTACAAAAACATCCCATTTGTATTTTTGCCTGGTTTAAGTTAGTTTAATAAATTGCAAGAAATAGAAAGCACCGATCAAGTTTGAGGTTAATGTTTAATCAATGGAACTAAGTTGCATTTCCTTAATAGGGCCTCTTTGCTCTCTCTTATAAATTTTGCACTCGTGGTTTGAACATTTCCATGGTTTATATGTTTCATCTTTTTTTTTTTTTTCCCTTTTTTTCTTTTTTTAATCTTCTTTAAATAATTGCACCAATGGTTTGAAAAACAATTAAATGATAACTGTTTTCCCATGTACCCAAAATATATTTTTTTGTGGTTTTATACCTTATTCTTTTGTAATTTTTTTCTGGTTCCCTTTATTGCTATACCTGTCATGTTTTCTTGAACCAGCTGTAACTGGAATTATGCCCACCCTTATGACCAATTGATTTGGTGCCTTGGGTGTAGGACATTAGTGGACCTTTTTTAATTTGTTGTTTTCTTTTTCAACATTTGTATTATGTTTTCATCTTGGACAAATATCTTTGCAGATCACCCAATTTGCTAATCATGAATAGTTCTGACTCCCTTTTCAGTGGTTTTCATTTAGTCATATGATTTAGGCTTGGCATTATTGCTTTACCCTCTTATCCATGCACCCTAGTCTTTAATACAGATTTTAATTTTTTTCTGTGTTCTTCATTGGCTGTTGCCCTGGGTAGCAAGACTAAAAAAAAAAAAATGATATTAGCAAGAGACCAATTGAACATGATGCTCATGTGGTGCTATATCAGTGTGGGTTCGAATTTTTGGTGCTATTTTTCATTTCTTTATATCGTTCATATCCTTTTATGCATAGACTAATGGGTAGTTTTTTATTTTTTTCTCCATTTTTCCATTTTCTCATTATTTCTAGTATTTTAGGCTTAGTATTATCCTTTCTACAGCTCTTCTTGCTTGTTTTGAAAAATGCAATTTTGAATCATATCCTCTATTTTTCCTTTGTTCTTGCATGCACTACTGAGATAGAAGAAAAATCAAGCAACCAGTTCTTCTCTTTCTGGAGGAGTGGAATATCTGTCTCTGTCCACATCTTTCTTTCTGCATCTCTATATTCCATTTTTATGGTTTCTTTATATTGTGCTATCTTGAAGGCTGCTGCTTCCTAGTTCCTCTTTTCCCTACTTAAACTTGGAGAAAAATAAAAAAGAAGAAAAAGTGGGATCTTGGATGATTTTGCACAGCTTTAGTGCATGTTTAGCCCTGCTTTTAACAAGATCTTCTTTTTTGCAAAAATTGAAACTGGGCCAAACATAGTTTTCTTAAAAGGTCTTATCATTCTTCTGATAGTTGTTTTCATATTCTAAAGGGCTAAAAATTGAAGCCCCAAACATGTTGCTTCTGGATTAGATCATTTGCCGTTAAGATTCTGCATTTTATAATTTTTATCAATTCTAAAATTTAATATGATTATTTTAGATGAATTCATGATTTAGCACTTCTATGAAAGATCTATTCCAACAGAACTTTTAGAAAAGCTACAGCTGGCCAAACTGGCTTCCCTAGAATTTTATAACTTAGTGGCCAGTACCAATAGCCTTTCATTTTCTACTTCATTTTTACCTTGTTGCAATTGGAGTGTACTTCCTTTTAAGGTTGTTAATTCTGCCTATATTCTTACTTTCAGCGCCATTTCTGCCCTTGCCATAAAATGAAAGAGATTACTCTTGCATGAATGAGGCATTTGCAATCTTGTAGTATGTTCTGTTAAGGACTTTATTTCGGTATATCATTAATTTTTTCCATGTCAGTTCTTCTAAATATATCCTTGGATTGACTTGTCAATGTTATATCATATATCTGTAAAACTAAGATGTTAGTGCTCTTCCATCTTGATTTATAGTTGCACAAGGTGCAAAGTGTCGAAAAGATGAAATTAGCAATGGACCAGTTGACATTGATGTTGAAGGTATAGGACAACAGCATACTTTTTTATTATCAATATTATTGTTTCAGTATTTTGGTAAATCACTGATTTTTTTTCCTTGTCAGTGCTGATTATTTCCTTGGGTCAACTTTTCAATGTTTTATCTGTAAAACTAAAGATGTTAGTGCTCTTTCATCTTGATTCATAGTTGCACAAGGTGCAAAGTCTCAAAAAGGCGGCAATGGACCAATTGATGTTGATGCTGTAGGTATGGACAACAGTATATGTTTATGTTATCAATGTTTTTCAATATTTTGGTATATCATTAATTTTTTCCCTTGTCAATTCTTTTGATCACATCCCTGGACAGACTTATCAATGTTTTCATCTGTAAAACAAAAACTAAAACATTAGTGCTCTTTCATCTTGATTCATAACTGCAAAAGGTGCAAAGTCTCAATGGTGAAATTAGTGACGGACCAATTGATGTTGAATTGTTGATTATGAATTTATAAGACAACAGCATCCATTCACCTAATCAATGTTAAAGTTTCAATTCCATTACCTTATGTGCTTTAGTGCACAAGGGAGTGACACTTCCCAAATTCACTTTAGCTATAAATTATTTGATAAATGATAGCATTAAATGTTATCAATGCTCATATCCTGTGTAATGTCAAATTGGCATGCCAGATAATGAGATTATCAAAAAGGGGATTTCTGGTCAGGGTTTGCTTTCTGTTCCTTCGAACTCTGAGGTAATAATCTCTTGCCTATTTTAGATATCTTGAGAATGAATATCACCTTTAAGTGGATAAATTACTTTTATTGCAGAAATGTTTAAATAGCTGTTGGCTTACTCCTTTCATGATAAATGAAGCTACAACTCTCATTTTCTCATTTTTAAATCTCTATTTTGTGAGAAAGCCGAACATGGGTTTTAAATATTCTCAGTAATTAGTCAATTGAAATGCTGCAGTGTGAAGAAGTTGGTGCAATTTCAGATGATGATGACTCAATTGAAATAAGTTCTCCACTGGCTTCTGCCTCTTCTCTGGCAGAGAGCATAGGTTTTTCTGTCACCTTTCTAAATGTTGACGCATAAAATATGATACACTTTCTTCTCAAGCATAATGGGTGGGTGTTCTTACATAACATTCTGCATCGTTTCAGTTTCATCACAAGAACAAGTTTTGGTCTATGGTACTAATGGAACTCGAAACGTAAGTACCATCCCCTACTGTTATGATTAATTAATAAATTTTATTTTGGTGGTACCTATCTGAATAGATATTAATATTATGAAGGGTTTGAAGTCAATCAAATGATTTGAGCATCTTTTGATAACTAAATTTGCACTCTATCAGAATTTTGTAATCAAGATATGCAGCATAGGGCAACAGTGAGGATCGTATACATGCTATGTGAACAATTAGTATAAGTAAAATATTTTTGTTGTTTAACATATCAGAACAGCTCCTGACCATCCAAATACTAACGGAGTTTCTTTTCTAAAATGTGTTAAAAATTGAGATGATCTGAACAAATACAAATACTTGTTAGGAGGGTTGAACTGCTAAGATTGAAATTCTTGTGGACTCAGTTTCTCATACAGATTTAGAATCAACTAATCAAATTGCTTCTATAATGATCTCTTTGATCACTCTTTCTTTGTTTTGCCCTTTTTGTTTTTAATTTTTTTTTCTTTTTACAAGCCATCTTCAATTTTCATAAATAATTAATAAATTTATTCTTACTTAGAATATATTTGTAAAGCAGTTTCAAAGTATGAATATCAGCACGAAATTTACTGTCTCTTTTCTTTTCTTTATAAGTGCTTGACTGCAATATTTTAAGAATTATAGTGATATCAAAGGGTCCTTTGAATTTAACATGCATGAGCTTTGAAAAGCTTTAATTTTTTTGGATTTGAGAATGTCCTGTAGATATCCATTGGTATTTGGAGGCAAGCAGTTAACTAGCTCGTCTCCAGTAATTACTGGTTTTCGGGTGGTATCCTGTGGATCAGGATATAAATTTCTTTACATGGAATGAGTTGCATGTTCTTTGTTATAAATTATTTTAATGCATATCCATGTTCTTTGTTATAAATTATTTTGGTGCATATCCTCTCTGTTGACTTATTTAATGTTGATAAAACACACTTTATGTTGACCTTTCTATTTATGTTTTGATTTGCAGGCCAGAGAAAATAAAGAAGTCATCATTTCTTCAGATTTTATAGTGTATGGTGAGATATATTGTACAGAGGCTCAGTTAACTTTTTCAGATGCTGCCCTTAAAGTGGAGAGCTCAACTATGAATGGGACGGATAGAACATTTAGCTTTGAATGGGCTATAGATGATATAATTAGTATTGAGTCTGAATGGTGTGGAAGGGTGAGTAATTGGTGTTCTATTTATTAGTCTTTAGAAACATGCTGAGTTCATAATCTTACTGGATGCAGGTTGAAACTGCCTTCATAAGTCTAGTTCTTAGATCAAAGGATTCTAAAACAGCTGGCAATGCAGATGAGACTTCAGGTTTGAGAATTTTCACAAATTATTTGTGTTCGGCTATTTGTTGCTGGTGGGGGCAGCTGTATATGAACACTAAATTATATGAACTTGAAGATTGCATTCCTCCTCAAATGTCACTTCTTTGTATCAATCTCTGTGCTGCATAACCCTCAATCTATACTACTAAACTCTTTGAAAAATCTCCCAGAATCTTTTCTGCATGTGCTTGAGGGAAAAAAAATTTGTGAAATGAAGCCCATTAGTGGTGGTCTATAGCAGGAGGGACATAAAACTTTTTTTTTTTTTCTCTCCCTTCATTACCCACGTAATCTAACAGTTCTTATATCAAAGAGGCCAGAGGGCTTCTTGGAGAATACTAGTGAGCCTTTAAAGCCTGTTCTAAATTTATTAATGATAACTTTTACAGGAGAAAAGTTACTTTTTGCTAAACCTAATCCTTCTGATTTCCACTGAATCTGACATTTGGTAGGAGAACACACGTCTGGGTGCTAGTTTGATGGGCATTTGGAAATATCCTGGGAATTTATTTCTAATGTTTGGTTTTCAATATGGAGTTGGACATTTTCCTCTTAATTCATCAGTGAAATTTTGATTTTTGCTTCTTGTCCAGACTACCTATTTCTGTTATTTCAGTGTCCTGTTGGAGTGGCTTTGATGGAAAGTTTAATGTAACTTATTAATGTCCTTGTTGATGAATAATTTCCAAATAATGTTGTTTTGACCTCATTGCATGCAGTTATTGAGAGTTTGAGGTTTTCAGTTTATGATTCTTGTTGGTCTGAAAAGCAGGAGGCAATCCAATCCTTGAATGTGAGATACAAGGGTTTATGGAGAATTACTCTTGAGTAAGTTTTTACTGAATTTTCCTTTTTTTTTTTTCTTTACAAGTTTCCATATTCATATGTGAAGTGATTGTTTGTCAATTTTCTATATAACATTTCATTTGTTTAATTTTGTCCAACCAAAAACCTAGTAAATTGATAATAGAAGAAAAAAATGGTGCATCTAGTTTGTATTGTTTGGTAATTTTCATATATTCACGTGCTGCTTTAGCATATAAATCATGGTAATTGGATAGTTTGAATTTGCACTCTTTCTATTGATTTGGGCTTTCATTTTGTGTCTTAATAAAAGATTTCTTCATTTTCTTTTCTTGATGTAAGTAAGATGCTAAAGTAAAAATCATAATATATATATATATTTATATTTTTGGTGCAAACTTGTTTGCATGTTTGTTTAACCATTAATGAGATTAACTTGCAGCATTGACAGAGAAAATGAAGGAAATGCCTTAAGGGGACAGCATTCTGAGGCTTTCTCAAACCTTTATCTTTCTAAGTAAGCCAGAAGTTTTAGATCTCAATTTGAGTGTAACTCTCTCATGAAAAAAGAAAAAAAAAAAAGAAAGTTATAACTCCTGATACCAATGGGTTCTATGGTGTTATATGTACTAATTGATCTTTGATGAGTTAATGCCATGCTTTATGTCACTGCAGTTCATTGTGACTCGAACTCACATATGCTTCCCTGATGCATTTACAATTATTTCCCCCCCCCCCCCCCCCACAATTTTTTTTTTCTCTCTAGACTACAATATATGGTGTTTTATCATATAGCATATGGTAGGGCTTGTTTAGTGTGCATCCAATATGTAGTAAAAAAATTCTATTTCCAAAGTTTGAATCCTTTTAAATGTAGACTATAGATTCAGAGGTATTCATGAAGTTTCACTATTTCAGCATAAGAGATGCATATTTTAACATGTTATCATTGATCTAAAGGTTTCTGTTGTTGCTAAATATTGTCAATTTAACTGTAATAAATTTTTTGTTTAAGGCCATATGTTTTGCCAGTGTGGATCTGTCCTTTTCTGTTGATATTTATCAGTTGATTTTTTAGTGATCTTCAATTGCTGTGTAACTTTATCTCTGTATGGTCTGTTCTCATGTTCTGATCGAACTTCTTATTTTTCAGTTTGCATGAATGTTTTGAAGAGGTTATCTATCCAGAAGGTGACCCTGATGCCATTTTGGTTAGAAAGAGAGATGTTGACCTTCTATGCCCAGAGACATTCATTAATGATACTATCATTGATTTCTACATTAAGTAAGCTTTGATAATAATAGTTCATGGCTTTTTTCTCTCTTTAGTGGTCTTTAACTCTCTATCTTATCATTATTTTCCCTGTTTTTGGCTAGAATTTGCAAGTGATAGTTTTTCCCTTGAAGTCTGATGTATAGATACATAAGTATGTGAATAACATAACTTGCACTTTAGCTGGAAGTTTCATTTTCAAATGTGATATATCAGAAATGTCTTTTTTCTTTTAACATCTTCTTATCTTTGTGGTGCAACCTATGCAGCTTTCTTCTAAACATTTTTAAGTCAGGAAAATGATATATTTCATTTTAAGCGTTTTTAGTGCTCTCTGTTTTGAAATGGTGTTCTGGGCTTAACCAATCTTTATGATTTAGGAATTATCAATCTAAAAGATGAATATCTAGTTGTTAACATTATTCATTACAAGATTCTTAGTGCTTTATAAAAAAGTACCTAGAAAAGTTTCCCACGTTTGATTTTAGCATTTCCAGACAATAATAGTGCTTCTGAATTTGATCTAACAGAAAAGAAAATAGTGAGGCTGAAGATAATCATTCTTCTTATGACATGAGATGTTCAGATGAATCAGATCATTCTCCAACAGTTTTTCTTTTCTAGTAGGCACATATTTTAATAGTTGTTATTACTAACAAAGTTCCATGAAGGATTAGGGCCTGTTTGGTTTAGCTTGTTAGAGCTTTTGCTTTTTGAGTACTGTTTATGAGTGATAAGTTTAAATATTTATTGGAGGGAAAATTTAAAAGTTGCTTTTAGAGATAGGAAAAAGTGAGTAAAAAGTGAGTAAAAAGGGAGTTTATGAAAAGTTTGGATTTGAAGCTTTTACTGTTTGAGATCTCTTTAAGGTTAAAAAAAAGTTTAAAAATGTAAGTTTTTAAGAGGGAAATTTAAACTTATGAAACATGAATAGTGTCAAGAAGCTAAAGCTGTAAGAAGCTCACCCAAACATGCCCTTAGATTCTTTGATTTCATCAAATTAATTAGTTCGTAAATGCAGAACTTTGCTCAGTTTAGGTTGGAAGATTGCTGCTTTAAACTTGAATCGTATTTTAATGCTGATTGTTTTTTTTTTGGGTGAGGATCATCCTCTAAACTTAATGTCAAGAATTAAAGTGCAAACTAAAATAGAGAACATTTGACTTGATGAAGCTTTACTCTGCATTTTTTCTAAAGTTTGTTTTATTCTAAAGATCTGAGGCATGATGAACTCAATTCTAATTTCCTTCTTTCATTTTTCATTTTGTTTTCAGTTTTCAGCATTTTTTCCTTTGATGTGGACTGTTATTTGTTACCCACAGATTTTCTCTTCTTTCAATTATGGCTCTTAATTCCTGGTTTTTCCTAACTTTAAAAGTGGTTAAATTAGATTGGGATCTGTTGGCAGATATCTGAAGAATAAAATTCAACCTGAGGAACAGCATAGGTTCTACTTTTTTAATAGTTTCTTCTTTCGCAAGCTTTCTGATCTGGACAAATATCCGTCAAGTGCTTGTGAAGCAAGGGCAGCATTTCAGCGTGTTCATAAATGGACAAGGAAAGTTGATATTTTTAAAAAGGATTACATTTTTATTCCTGTTAACTACAGGTTAGAGAATGGACATTTTCTTAATTCTTTCTGTCACACAAAACAATAAAAATGCTATCTTGTTTTGCATTTTAATGTGAATCATAAATTCATTCCATGACAGTTTTCATTGGAGTTTGATTGTCATTTGTCATCCTGGTGAAGTGGCAAATCTCAAAGGCAAGTTCCTCGATATTTGGTTTCAAGTTCTTATATTAGTTAGGATCATCTCCACTTATGAATTCTCTTGCAGATGATGAACTTGCTGAGTTACCTAAGGTGCCTTGCATCTTGCACATGGATTCAATTAAGGGAAGTCATAGAGGCCTTAAAAATCTTTTTCAAAGGTAATTTAATTTACATTTTTATTCTTAATTTCATGGATAGTTATTTATGCTGTGACCTTTTGGCCAACTAAAAACCAGGAAAAAATTTTGGGGATTTCCTCGTCATTTTTTCTTCACTTTATTTGCCTAGAAAGAAATAGATTATCATCATATATAAACTTAATGCTTACAATCTGTAAAAGATAGTATTTCAAGAAGTGGCAAGTGTTATAAACCAAAATCCCAGATGGTCTATGTGCAATTATGCCCCGGGGACATGCATGGCTAAAAGCAATAATCAGAAAGCAAGCTAATTTAATTTAATTGCATTTTTTCTTAGTATTAATAATTGATATCCATGTGAACCATGTTCATGCCTGTTTAAGTCCCTTGATTTTTTTGAGTCTGGTTCTCCTATTCTTTTTCTGATTTGTAATGCAAGTTCCTTTGCCTCCTGTCTCTGTCATGGTTCTGACATAATAAATAGCATACTGATTCTGCTGATAAGGTCTAAAGCCCACTATTTTAACTGGTCAACAGGGAACATTTAATTTAATAAACTCAAACAATCCCATTAAGTGTAGTTTTTATTTTGTTTCTCATTATTTTATTTCTTTTTCACATTATAACTCTAAAAAGAAGCTGATGAAATTTCCACTATTTTAAATTGAAGAGGCTTTTGATTTACAGGCTGTTGTTTAGTCATTCAATAACATGTATTCTAAAATATGGGCTCTTAATCAATCAGACAACTAGTTGGGATGATTAACCAATATCTGGTCTCATCATGTAGTGAATACTTTATTTGTTCTGAGCTTTCTACACATTTTGAGAAAAGTATTGGAAAATTAGTAACAAATCTTTGGTAATGGCAGTCAAACTTGATGCTTTAAGATGCATTATAGTTTTCAATCTCTAGGTGCTACTTAAGGAGCCATTCTCTTCTACCTTTTTACATGGTTGCTCAATCATGCAATGACTCTTCTTGACCTCAATTCAGACTACCTGAGGCAATGATAAAAGTTTCCCACGTGCCATTTCCTTACACCATCTCTTTGAATTTGTGAGACACAGACCGTCTTGTACTGCAACTCCTGTCTAATGGTCAAGGAGAAAAGAGCTGTTGGTTAGAAGGCCCTTGAAATGAATTTCAAGGAAAAGGGGCATGGACCAGGAAAAAAAAAAAAAAGGACCTGTGTAGAGATTTATAAAATCAAAGATTGTGGTATGAAAATTGCAATTGATAGTTATAGACTTGAACATGTTATGAATTGGTGATGTTGTGTTTAAAGATAAGATTATGGCCTCTTCTAATATGCTTCACTGGTTTATAAAATTCTGTAAAGCTGTAGCATTGATATTAATTTAGCTTGATCAAAGTTCTAGTCTATTGCTTGTAGAAAAGTAGAAATAACTACGTAGATGCTGCCATTGGTTGGCAGTATTATTCAGCATATATTATTGGTGTTACTGTGAAGTATTACTCATTTCTTCCTTCTCTGCTTCATTTAAAATTTTTTTTTTTCTCATGTTTTTGGATATTAATTTTTATTGTGGTTTTCAACATTTATTTTTCATGAGGTGACAGTTACTTATGTGAAGAGTGGAAAGAGAGGTGCGGTGGGGCTGCAGATGATATTTCCTCAAAGTTTTTTCATTTACAGTTTGTCCCTTTGGAGGTACTCTTCTCTTTTAAAATATTGCCCATTGTCGTTCATGAAACTGTAATTAGTTTCTAGCATCTTCTTGTAGATAATTTTATTTTGTAGATAAATGTATGAGAAGCTGAGTAAATTAGACAGTAGTTTTCCTTGGGAGTGTGCTGCATGGTGGAATCAATACAATGGGCATTTGAGAACACATCAATCAGGCTTTGTACTTTTTCCTGCTAAGACTTTTCAGCCTTTTCATTTTAGTTTTTTTTTTTTTCTTTTGTATTTTTACCCAATGTCTAGAAGTTACTCAGCTATTCATGTCAAGTATATAAAAGTATGTTTTTTTTTTTCTTTTTTTCTTTTGTGATACAATGGGCATCCCGTTTCTTACTGATGATCTGAGTTCTTTATGAAAGGAAATACTGTTTTGTCTTGCTAGTGTAAATGTGGTTTGAGTAGTTATGTCTGTATCTCTTCTTGACATTATAGATTACTTCATCTTAGGAGGATGATATGGTAGTTTCATAAATATCAAGTAATCAAAGTGGTAAATTATCATAGTGAAACTAATTACAAAACTTTGAATTCTTTATTTACCTTTTTTTTTTATGTCAACTAAAGTTGTCCTCCTGAGGACTGCGAGTCCCTGAAGTAGCATGGAAACACAATGTCTTATTCTCTTATCACTGATTAGTATAAAAGCGAAAGAATGTCCTGGGACTATAGAAGCAAGTTCATATCTTTCAAGGCTAGCATTTAGCATACTTGCAAGTTGCAAATTGCATGGAAGTCCAAGTGAGGGAGAGAATTAAATATAAAACCAAACTTGGGTCCTCACCTATTAGCTTAAGCTTTTGGAAGAAACAGTTGTTGATAGTTTATCATGGAATAGTGCATCTTGCAGTTGTTCTTCATTTTCAGTACTACTTAGAACTTAATTTTTCTGCCATTTCTTATTAGCAAAACTGATTGGCGTTTTGATCTTGCCTTCTGCCTTTGGCAGCTACCACAGCAGGAGAATTCTTTTGACTGTGGCCTCTTCTTGCTCCATTACGTGGAACTCTTTATTCACGATGCCCCAACTAACTTTAGCCCTTTGAAGATATCAAAGTTCAGCAACTTTGTAAGTGCTCTTCTTTGTTCAACTAGTCTTGTGTTTACACTTATATTCACATGACCTTTTATTCATCATTCGTTAGTGTTTCACAGCTTGGTCACCTGAGCTAGCTGCCTGCCATCCAGGCTTTTCTTTTGCTAGACTTGGAAAATAGCATTTGATATAGGTTATTTCTGCTATTAACTTGTGGGTTTGGCCTTTTATTTGATGTTTGGAACAAAAAACTGAATTTCTGTTAATTTTTGGAATTGAGTCACATTTCATATGTACTGCATACGTAGTTGGTTTAAAGTAATTTTCATGCAATATCTGCCCTTGGTATGCTTTAGCAGAATAAATGGTTTCTCTGATTTACCATAATAACATCATAAGGGAAAGAAAGCACCAGCTGCCATGAAAATGATGGAAAAGATAGGGGTATGTTCCCCTTAGTCTGGCAAACCTACTTCCTCCACCCCACCCCTCCTTTCTCAACAATCTTCTCATGTCCCTCATGGTTTTCACCATGTCCCATTAAGAAGCACAATTCTTTGTGCAGTTTGAGCAGGGTAAATCTTTTATCATTTGTGACCAACAAAATAATATTTATATGGTGTTCCTCTCCCCCTGCCCATATTTTCTATTTCAGGTATCTGATTTTATGTTGCGCTCTTGTTGACTTTCAAGAAATTGCAGCAGAAATTAGATTGTGCTTTGTACGTTAAAATTATGTTAGATTGTGAGAAATTATTTTTTCTTTCTTTTCTTTATCTGGTTCTGGTCAATTGTTTCTGTCTATATTAGATTGTGCTTGGTAAGTTTAAATTATCTTCATCTTTCCAGCTCACTAGGAACTGGTTTCCACCTGTTGAAGCTTCTTCAAAACGTTCTCATATCCAGAGGTTAATCTATGAAGTCCTGAAAGATCAATCTTATAAAGCATCTTCAGCTAGTAGTGTTGATGGATATCCTCTCTTCCATTCACCTCAAAGGATTGAGCGGGAAACTGGACTGGAAGTTCTTGGACAGGATCATTCCTCAAATTGTAATAATGCTCAGGAGGGAATCAAAATTTCACAGTCAGGTGCATACCCTCAAACTCCCAACCAACAAATTGAAGATTCTATAGCATTTGAAGAGTTCCTTAAGCTAGGAAACTATGGGCGATCACTCTCTGATAGAAATAATTGTGAGATTAATACTCTTCCTGGGAGGAATGCCATGTCACCAGTAGAGGTATTCATTTTTTCCTTTGTCCCAGTTTTTATTACCTTTTAAATGTCCTAAAGCATCAAAAAGTTAACACTTGAACATCCTTTAACTTGAAGGCCATAAAAAACATCCTTTTAACACAATGCCAGAAAAAGAACAATTACACCCTTTAAGCCCTAATCTTTCTATCTCTTTTAGTTATGTGTGTGAAATTTAACGCTTAAACTTTGAGGTAATTCCGTAAACATTTTTTCTGTTTTACTTAATCACTTCTTTGCCCAATAAATAGGAACAATATGCCAGCGAGATTGGTTAAACCATCTATAGCGTTCTTATCCAGTAAGCCATTGCTTGTATTTACATATTCAAGTTTTGTTGGCTAAAATTGTTTCAGATTCTTTGCTAGCCATATTTGTACCTGCTCTGTGGGACCACTTGTGCTCCACCAGAATCAAAACCTTTTATCTGTTCCACCCCCCCCCCCCAAAGTGATTTGACCTTCTATGCGGTGTACTTATTTTCTATCATACGGTGCCAAGTTGATGATGACATTATTAACCCAAAAAAGAAATGTTGATGATTGACTACATGAATGAAATGTATATGAACAAAAATATTCTCGTTTTTTGGAAACTATATGGACTGAAATTTTCCATTCTATTCTGATTGAGAACAGGAGGTTGAAGTGACCTGTGAAAAGATTGCTGTTGATACATCATCTGAGATAGATAATAGGCAAGTTGAATTGCAAACTAAATCCCCTTCACGAGCAAGATTCACTGGTAGATACAATTCGGCATTGGAACCACCACAGAATCAGCAAGTATTGTTGCGTGTGGGGGATTCTTTTTCTGGATCCTCCGGTAGTGATTTTCAGATGTTGACAGAGATGCGGCCAGAATTTGAGGGATGTATACATTTGGATAGAACTGACAAACCTGAATCTTCTTCATCCTCAAGTGAGTATCTTGCTGACTGTATTGTTGAAGATTCTGAAGATGATAGTGCCAGGAAGTACTGTGAGAGTAAACGTGATCCTTCCTCCTCTTGTCGGGAAATCCCAGCTTTATCCTATCGAGAAGCAGAGTCAAAGAGAAACACTAATGCTGAAAAACATCAAATACTAATGATCAATGGAGATCCTGCACAAGTAGTAGTTCAGGTAGACGAATAGCAAGGTGCCAAAATGCCAGGTGATGCAGAACAGAGTGGAGAGAAGATCCGCACCACCAAGTTATGCCATACGTAACACGACGGAGGACAAATGCAACAGCCTTGTTAATAGTTAGAATACTATCATGTAGAAAACTTTAAATAATATCAAAAAATTGTTGGGTGTGGGCCTCCTGGTATTGGAGACTGCCCCCTCATCCAATGATTTCTATGTTTGCTATCTGATGAAGTCTGAATTACAAAACAAAGAATTCAAATGATGTTGTTATATAGGTAAGGAGAAAGCTCAGCCCATCACAAATTGTAAAAAGGCAAAAAACGAGAAGGTAAGAATTTTGAAATGTAAAATGTTCTTTTATAGGAACTGCATCATCTCATGGTTAATGAAGTTCATTTCAGTATATTTGCTGCTTTTTTGTCATACAATGGCAGCCTAAGATCAAAGTGCGGCCAATGACTTAAATAATTTAGTGATTATATCTTTTTATCAAAAGTAAGAGAACTTGAATTCGAATCGCATAGCATGTGGGTGGGGTAAGATAAAGGATGAGAGATGGTTGTTTCTTATTGTATAACTAAAAAAAAAAAAAAAGACCAAGTTGCAAAGAGTTGCTATTTTTATTTGGTTTGATTAGGACTATCCCACACGGTTGTCTATTTCCCTCAAGCTACATATACATGCTATTACTTTAAAAACATAACAAAAGTAATTATGAAATTAATCATTGTTGCAAAAAGCACGTTTAAGTGTTGGTGGTGCTTCATCGCCTCGCCTAGGACCTTGGTCTAACAATGCCATTTTAAGATATTCGGCCTTGGGCAATGAAACTAGACGTTTCTTTTATTTTAAAATTTTTTTAATTATTATTATTATTATTATTATTATTTTTTTTTGTAAATAGATAAAATTACCTAGTCTTAGGTAACAAAGCGCTTTCTACAACATTGCATAAAAATGGCACAGGCTCTTGCATTTTACCTTTATTATCAAGAAAAAAAAAATCATTAAAAAATGAAAAAGGAAAAACTGTTAGTTTTTCCGCAAAGGGGCTGGGCTCATTGGTGGCAGTGGGCTGGACCTAGTCATGGAGGCATTGGCGCGTTAATCACGTCCACTCCATAATAAGACGAAGATAACAGTTTTTGGCGCAACGCAACCTGGGAAAGAAAGGCAGGGAGGTTTGGAGGAGATATGGTGGAAGAGAAAGTGAAGGCGGAGGCGATGCAGATGCTGGGAATGTTCCAAGTGCTTCCTCGCTTGGTCGTCTTTGATCTTGATTACACTCTCTGGCCTTTCTACTGGTTTCTTTCTCTTTCCTCTCCTTAGCTTCATTTCTACTTCTGTAATTTCTTCCTTCTTCTTTTTTAACTTCTAAAGTGTGAGCTTTCCATGGAAATTAGATTAGGGTTTAAACAAACAATACAAAAAGAAATAATTTTTTTTTAAAGTATATCACTTATTAATGCTTCCTGAGAATTATGTTTCTTGAGTTTCTATCTATTACCTGTAGTTGGAATCCAGGTTTGGTATCACTATCAAGTAGGCAAAGACAATTTGACATGTTATTAAATGAATGGATGCATATAAATTTACAAGCACTGAGTGAAAGAGATAAAAACTAACATTATGTCATGTTGTCAGCAAACATTTTCAATGAATCATTTCAATATATCTGCTGCAATCATTTCAATGTATCTGCTGTATTGGTGCCTCACACCTTGTGTTTTAGCGGTGAAGTATATGTTATTCTGTTACTCTGCCTAAAGATGTGGGATGAAAAGTGATTACTTGGGCAGCATTGTATTGATTAACATATATTCTTATACAAAGTTTATTTTCAGTGAATGTCGCTCTAAACATGACACGCCATATATGTACCCTCATGCTAAAGGGATATTATATGGACTCAAGGACAAGGGGATTAATCTAGCAATTGCTTCCAAATCTCCAACACCGGATATAGCAAACACTTATATTGACAAATTAAGCATCAAGTCCATGTTTGTTGCCAAGGTGAGCCAGCCTGTCACTGTGCTTTTTCCCCCTTTCTTTTCTGCTGGAGAACTTTATGAAAAATTCTATTCCAGTTTATGACTTGTTATGCATATCTATGTTAGATGCCATACCTCAGTCTAAAAAACATGTAACTTGTTTTGGGTCTCTGTTAACTCATTTCCCTAATCCATATCATTTTGTGGTTTACTTGTCAGCTGTTTCAGGTAGCTTGCGGTTGCATTTCATGTGGATTTGAAGGGAATCATCCCTTGCTTTGGTTATCTTGTTAATTAATTGATTGTTCTTTGAACTTTCCAGGAGATATTTTATAGTTGGACACAGAAGACAGAACACTTCGACAAAATTCACTTAAGAACTGGGGTGCCCTTCAACTCAATGCTGTTTTTTGATGATGACAATAAGAACATACAAGCGGTAAAATGACCTCTCCACCTCATCCTTTAGAATAGCATTTCATGGAGTTAGTTTTTTGGATCTTTGTGACTGTGTCGTATAGTGATGGGTATTGAGAATGGTTGGGGTCAGAGAGTGGGCTAAGGGTGAAGGGTTTGCTAAGGATAGATCTCACCTGTTGATTTTATTCTTTAACAAAATTACAGGTATCTAAGATGGGAGTGACCAGCATATTGGTGGATAATGGAGTTAATCTTGGGGCATTACGTCAAGGGCTAACAGGATTTGCAGAAAATTGGAATGCAACTCAGAAGAACAAGCAGAAACGGATCAAAAAATTCTCTCCAAACTCATATTCATCCGAGAAGAAAAAGCAGAAATGAATTTTCTTATATACTCACCGGTCTGCTGTTTTACATTATCAATAATATTTTCAAAAATTATTGTGGATGGTTTGAAATCCACATTTGATTTATGTAATGAATGAAGATATGTACTTACTGAAGGGATGCCTTTTATACTTTAGGTTATAGAGTACGATTCTAAAAGTTGTTTTAGGGAGGTTGTGTTGATGTATAAGAAATTTCTTCGATGCCCAAAGAAAAATTTTATTATGAAAGATACATAGAAACTCATACTAATTTAAGACCCATATCTGTTGAAATCAGAGTTAATGGTTGTTTATTATTTTGTTGTTTGATTTTTTTTCTTTTTTGTACGGACCATTTAATAAGAGATAATTTTGTCCTTTCCATCTCAAAATTTAAATTTGAGATTTTCAACGTAAAAACTCAAAACTATTGAGGTGTGCCCTAAGGGCCATAGTTCTTTGTTATCATCTTGGGAATAAGAGTATTCTCAGTCCAAAATCCAAATGGCTTAAAACTGTAACATTTTAGTTCAAGCTGGAAATGACGCTAGCACGTTTCTCTCTTAACCTGTATTTGAGCCAACCATCCTCCATTCTCTTCAATTTAAGGCACATCAAATACGTTGAGGGAGCTAATATATAGACCAGACTTTTGTAGTACATACTAGACTATACTCAGATTATGGTATAGATTTACACATCAATTCAACAATGAATTCCCATGAACAACAGTATTGAGTTTGGATTATGAATATGGTTGAAGACAATTAAACATTTAACTGTTGAATCAAGAACACGGGAAAACATTTATTTATCAAGAACAAACAGAAACATTTTCACAATATCAACTCAATATTATGCACCAGCAATGCATAATTTTCCTAGACGTACATGCTTGAGTTTACATAGAGCAAAAAGAATCAGATGCATACTCTTTTAAGCTGTTTACATGAAAATCACTTATTGAGTTGGATAACCAAATCAAAACAATACAAAGAAAAAAGGTACTGAGGAGAGAGCATTTCTCAATTCTAGCTTGAACAGCTATACAGTCCATGGGGAAAATCTCAGATATGCAGCACACACTAATTCTGTTTGATTTCTTGAAATAGCAAACCTACAATGTCAATTCTGGTTCCTGTTCAAGGGAAAAAAAAAAAAAGAAAGTTACCATGATAAAATCCAAATGGAGATTAAAAAATATACAGCTACCCTGAACCAGATAGAAACGCTGGCCTGAGGGTTGAAAAAGAAAGACTATTCTCCTCTGATTAGAGGACAGTGTTTTTGCACCTTTGGTTTGTGTAAAAAATAATTCACTAATCATGAGATTTATCCCAAAAAATGATACATAAGAGGAATGCATGAATTTGGCTCTAAATGCAAACTCTATCAGTTCTATCAAAAACAAGATGACAGAGAAGAGAGAGGATAAAGTTCATTTGACAGCAGATTATATAACCCTGATAACTACATCTTTCCAAAAACAACATAGAATAAATTGCCCACCTTTTAGTACTTCCTGCTACAGCTTTGATAAGATATAGCAGATAGGTTTTTTCTTTCTTACATTTATTTCTAAAGTCAGCAATGACTTAAAATAGACATCTATGGTCTAACTCCCCAAAAAATGGAAAAAGAAATTTACTTGAGGTCTCATAAAAACCTCTTTTATCAAAATGTAGTTAATGTCTGTTGTACATTTAAGTAGCTGAATTCACATGAGATCCAGTTTTTATTACAAGGATTAAGCTAGTACTGTACTACAGAAAAGCAAGAGGTTATATGCATAAAGACCATTGGCATGCAAGGTAATAGAAAATCAAGATGTCATTTTGTAAAATCAGATAATGGCATTCGGAAAGATAAAACAATTACCTGGTGATTGAAGATTTAGTTTCTCCTAGCAGACACTGATAATGATTTAGCTCTTTCAATGGAAATCTTTCGTCACAACCTCTTTCAGTTTTAACTACTGCAGGATTAGTAATAGAAGACTCTGCTTTCCTTCCAACAGAATCAAAGAGGTCATCATTTTCTTTTGGACCATCTGCAATTATGAGCCCATTCTCAAAACTCTGCAAAATTTTTCTCAAACTTTCCATCAGCTTCATATCCTCACATGAAACCCCACTAATCGAGCTGGAAATCTCTTCAATATGAGCCATGGCATCATCCAATTTTCCTGATAGCATCATGTTATTATGAAGCAGAACTCCTTTTTCAAACTCAGGTTCATTAATTAGGCCCTCCCTCTTTCTCTGTTCATTGTGAACTTGAATCATCAACTCTTCAGTTTCCAAATTCTTAGTTTCCAGCAAAGTTAGAAGCTGCTCTGATTGTTGATTTGAGTGAAGTAATGATTCCTCTAGAGAACTCTGAATTTGGCATAAACTACTTACTTCCTTTTCCAATTTAAGAATCACCTTGTTCTTCTCATCAACTTCTAGCTTTCTCAGATGCTCAGAGTTTTTCAAAACTTCAAAAATGGCAGTGACCTCAATTTGCTTTTCTATGACTTCTGAGGCAGAGGAGACTATGGCATTTGTCAAATCTAGTTCCAGCATCCTGTTTAGTACATGGAGATCAGTAATGCTCTTCTCTTGCTCATTCAAAAGTTCTACAAGCCTCTCTTTCTCCTGCTCCGAGGCTTTTGCTGCATCTAAACTGACAAGAATTGTAGTTTCAGCTTGTCTTGGGACAAACTCTTGCTTCAGCAATGCTAGATCTTCCTGGAGATTGTCTATGCAACTATTCTTTTCTTCCAAGATCTGAGCAAGGTTCTCTTTATCCTCTCTTAAGACTTTTACTGCCTCTATTTTCACCGTAACAGTAGCTAGCAATAAAGCAACCTCTTGCTGTAGATTGTTTATGGTCTTCTCATGCTCTTCAACAATATTAAGAAGCTTATCTTTCTCCTGCTTAAGGGTTGCCACATTCTCAGTGTCTGAGTGAAAGGAAGTCTCAATTTCTTTACAGCATTCCTCATTTTCTTCAATGCAAAGGCTTGTCCTTTCTTCAGCAGTAGAATTAATGTTATGTTCAAACTCTAAATGATTTCTCTCATCTATTTTCTCTAGAGCAGCAGTCTTCATCTGCAACAGCTTTGTAAGAGAGGAAATCTCATCATCCTTCTTTCTGTTGCATAGTTCGACTTCAGTTTTTTCATTTAACAGTTTCCAAAAGGCTTCAGAAAATTCTAACTTTAAAACCATAAGTAGCAGTGAAATCTCCTCATTCAAGGCATCAATTCTACAATGACAATTTCCCAGGTTCATGTGAAGTTCCTGGATCATTTTTTCTTTATCCTTCAATTTCGATTCATAACCATCAATATCCCCCTTCATTTCCTCTATTTTAGAACTCAATTCAGATTCTCTTGCTTTCAGATTTTTAGAACACTTACCATGCACTTGCTTGAGGTCTCTAAGCTTGTTGCGCAGTTTTGTTAATGAAGCAGTGTGTCCTCCAGCATGTCCACCAGCACTTCTGATATGAGCTTCCCGAAGTTCCTTAAGAGATTCCTTTAATTCCACGTTCTCTTGCTCAAGCTGAGCAACCTTAAATTCTGATTCTTTTACAAATGTCTCCTTCTTTCCTAAAATGTTTCTTAGGCTTGCAATTTCTTCATCCCTATGATGAATCATAGTTTCAATTTTGGAATGTTTTTGACTCTGAAGCGAAGCACTCTCAAAAAGGGATTTAAGTTCAGATACTTGACCTTCCAGAACTTTTCTCCGGCTTTCTTCATAAGCTAGGGCATGGCTGCACATCTCCAACTGTGTTTTAAGGCCATCTGAAATTCTAGTTTGAGAATCCAGCCTCGTTTGCAATAAGGAAATCTCTTCAAGTAGTGATGATTTCTCCCTCTGCCACTCATCTCTACTCAACTGAAACTGGTCCTGGAGCCTTTTATGAGCATCTTCAAGGTATTCAAACTTCTCTGTCTTCCATTTCAGCTGATCCTGGATATTCCTACTATCCTCCTCCAGTTTAAGTATCAAATCATCTCTTAACCTCAATTCTTGTTGTGCCCGTACATTTTCTTTTGCTTCAAGAAGCTTGCTTTCTGAAGCTGTTAGGAGTCTTTTGAGTCCCACAATTTCACTATTCCTCACACAAAGCTCTTGCTCTAAGTCTTTATTCTTCTCCATAGCTTCATCTAAAGCCAACATCAGCTCTTTATTCCCTTCTTGCAGCTTATGCAACTTCTCCTCAGAATCAGTACGGAGTTTTTCATTTGCAGACCTCAAGTGCCTGAGAGATGACTCCTTCTCCAGCAAACCAGATGTAAGGTTGTCAAGAATCTGCCTTATTTCAGAGATTTCCTCATACTTGGCATTTAATTCTTGGGCCTGTTTTTCAATCTGCCGGTTAGCCTCTTGAAGCCTAAGTATATGCTCATCTTTTGCTTTCTTTAAACTCTCAGAAAGTTCCATTCTAATCTGAAACTCCTTTCTGAGCTTCTCCATCTCCGCTCTGACTTCATCTAACTCTTTATGAACTTCCTCCATTTCACTTGCCTCCGAATATTAATCTCCAAAATCCCTGATTCATTCAAGTAAGCTTAAGGTAAGCTAGTATCTTGAATTCTTGCCTTTATAATACCATCACCTCATGTGTATCTTAAAAAAGACTAAAACTTGCAAAAGCTCGAGCACATATCAATAACAGATTTAACTTATGGTAAAACCTAAAAACAATGAGAATAATTTAAGTTCTATTAACTTTCCTCTGCAAAGATCATTTGAATCTTACACGAGAAAGATTATAAACAAAAGCGATTTTCATGTCATCTGAAAAAAAAAATCACAACATTCAACTTTCTCTATATCAAATCTCACTTCTCTTTTTGTCACCAATTTCTGTCATTGATATGAAATGCAAATAAGAAAGCGACTGAAATGAGCATTTTTGAGATATCAACGTAAAAGGAAAAATAAAAATGTTACCAATGAAACAGATCTAAAAGAAATTCAAGCAAAGAACACCAACTGTTCGAGAAATTACCGATGAGAATGTATAAAGAAAAGATCACACACAATACAATAGCTTCTTCTGCCGCTGTTTCCACTAAAACAGTCACCTCTGAGTCAGATTTCTGAAATTGTAACGGAAGTTCAAAAATGGAACAAGACACGTTTGCATGAACATCAAATTTCAGATTTCTCGACGGAATCAATCACACGTCGGGATACCTCGAATTCAAAAGCGAAATAAAATGCTAACCCTAGATTCATGTGCTGTGAGTTGGAATCGAGAGATTAGATTCGAGAAGTCATGGAGGCGTACCTGTAATCGAAGAAGGATTGGGAGGAAAAGGCGAAGGTCGTCTCCCCTGTTCAGTTCCAGAAAGATGGAATTCCGGGACCGATTGGGTAAGCGGGAAAATAAAAATGTGGTAATGTTTTGAATTTTTCTTTTCCTATATAAAGGGAAAATTACTCACCTTTTTACCATTTTTTCTTATTTACCATGGTCGTGAAATATTCATTGGATCAAACTGGCTGCTTGTCTTAGTAAAAAAAACTTGATTCTTTTTAAGAGTAATGATTTGCGAGAGGATTTTGAGGGACGACAAATGAAAGCAGGGTTAAATTGGTAGTTGTTGTTGGTGCTGCTTCACTTGTGTCCTTCGTTTCGTCCCCAAAATCGTTCCGTAGATTATTACTCTTTTTTTTAATGAGTAATGATATGTGGGACGACGTTGCGGGTTGATTTTGGGGATGACAAGTGAAGCAGTCCCAACAGCAATTATCAATTTAACCCTGTTTCACTTGTCGTATCTCAAAATCGTCCCGTATATCATTACTCTTTTCTAATTAATTTATTTTTTGAACAATATATCATGCGACTTAAATCCAATCTTAAGAGGGGGTTAATAAGATGATAAGAGTCACTCGACTCAACATACCAAATGTTTCTTAATTAAAATTTTAAATTTAAATTTTATGAATAAAAAAATAAATATTAAAAAAAAATTCTTATAACATCTTACACAATTTAATTTTAAATTAATTTGAATATAATGTGATTATAGGATATGAGAGATTAATAGCAAAAATGATATTCACTGAGCCGTCATAAATTAAGCAGGAAAATGAACATTGGTTTTCTAAATCTGTTGGGATGGAAGATCCTCTTCAACTTCAGCCATATCCATGTCAATCGGCTAAATTAGTTTACAATCTATTACAGATGTGAATTGTGACAAACCCCTATATTTCTATTTCAGGTGGGATTAGAGCATGTTTGCTACAATGACTAAAATTCAACAGATTGAAAATCAGGGATAATATATAGTGAGGATCCCAACTGTACAACTTTACACAAACTACAGTTGCCAAGTATCAACTCGGTAACAGTATACAAGCACAACCAGTACAAGCTTAGTTTACCCACTAACTTCAAAACTTTGATGTGATGGTTGTTAAAATTAGGGATTTAAATTGTTGCATCAGCTTAGAACACTGACTCACCTAAGTGCCAAAAAGAAAATGTATAAAAGCACAAAATCAGAATAGCAAACAAAAATCCTATTCTTGGGGAATTCTTGGGGAATTCTAGGAGTCATATCCCTTGCCCCTGAAGACGAACTGTGATTTCTTGGACTAACCAAACGAGGTGTCTTAAACTACTTCTTCTTTCAAAAGCAACTGTTCAAGTTCCTCCCTGCGCCGCTGCAATTCCTGGACATGAAGTTAAAGAGTATGAAATGTAAAACTCAATTCCTGAATATATTTGCATTCATGACCACAGGAAGAATGCTAAAATATGAAGGCTCAGCAGTGGTCGACTGGAAGTACAAAATCAAGAAACAGGACACTACAGAAGGCTCCCCGGCATTGCAGAAGTCTGAAAGAGTTCTGACTTAAGAGCACCCAAAATCCTTATCTTTCATAAGTTGAAACAACTAGTATGACTACAGCTAAATTAAATGCACATGAATAAAAATGAAACGAAAAGCGAAACAATCCCCAAGGTAAGGTACAAAATAAAGAATTTCTTGAACTACTGTTGCTTACCTCTAGATCCTTAATAGCTTGCTCCCTTGAAATTTCTCGCTGTTGGTGAGAACGTTTGAGAAAGCCAAGGCATAAGAGTCCCTGAAAATGAGCATTCCAACTTAACCATTAAAGACCAACACAACTCAGCTAAAAGACTGAATTCCCTTCAATTCATAATTTAGCATCAGTTCAGTCAGCCCAGGGAATTAACTTACATCAAACTTAACTATAGCAAGAGAAAATAGAAAAGAAAGAATGGGAGAGGGGCTTCCATTTCATTGTAGAAGTAGTTGATTTTTTTTTTCTTTTTTCTATTATCCTTACCGAAATCACATAGATCAGGCCACAACCAAGGAGATAAAAGCATGCTATGTTCTGAAGAAGAAGAAGGTCCGTTTGCTTGTCCCCATAAGAAGGAAAAGCTCTTGTCATTACTGCAACACTACAAAGAACAAGCACAACTTTAGAAAGACCAACAAATCAGGTTCTTTTATGGTTGTGAACTTGCCTACTTCTACAATACATAAGACACTGGTGATGGTCCAAATCAAGCTACATTCTGCTAAAATATTCACAAGCATTCACTTCCTACTCTTACTGCAATATTCCTGTTTATCTCAGTAATGCCTCACATAAAAAAGGTCCAGTCCTTGCCATGACCAACCAAACTTGTGTCTTACTAGATCAATTGGCATCTAAAATCATCATTTGAACTCCAAATCAGAATTAGAGATCAAATCACTTAGAAACTAAAACTAAAGATAAGATGTATTTCATAATATAGAGTTGGCTGATTTCGTTTATGAGTTAAGTAGAAACCAAAATGTCTAAAGGAGATGAAAATGAAAAAAAGAAACTGACAAAGGCTTTCACAGAAACAGAAGTAGGACATACAAGATTTGCAGCATACCCCTACCCACCCAGTACTCCAAAATCTGCATGGTTTGAAAGAAAATTAAATGTTAGAAGGCATGACTGCTCGGAATCGCAACGTTAACAAGCACAGAAAGATAATCATGCATAAATAAGAGAAGTAATATTATATCTGGCCTGGTGCCATTATTTGCAAACATGATTAATACCAAACAAAAGGAGGCAGTATATATACACGCAACTGTCTTTTAAGCAGCTTTCTACATTAAAAATTTACGTAAATCCAATATCTCCTGATACAGAATACCAATTTTCAAGCACCATCGGCGCACCTCTTTACTTTTCGAAACAATTGAGACGGTCACGTAGAGGTTTGGAAAGGGCTATCCCATGTTGTATGCTGAATTAACATTTGCCTTAAACAACTCTAATTGATTTTCCACCGGAGTTAAAATGAATAACTAAATGGGGCAATTGAAGATAAAAATGCGGGAAAGCAAACCTTGGAGAACTTCATAATAAAGCTCCACTCCGTCTCAGCGATAATCACAAAGAAAGCAATAACCACGGCATAACAACGAAACACTCCGTCGAAAATCTACCAAACAATCAAACATTCAGAAACATGCAAACGTACATATGATCTACATTCAGGACTGTGAGAGCATACATACATCAGATCTATTCTGGAAGGATCGAATGGCCGAGAGAACATTGACAGTAATGCAGAGGATCCCGGCCAGAGCAGTGACGAAGCCGAAGCACCTGCAGACCACCAAGAAAGGGTCCCGTCTATTCCGACTGGACGTCGGAGGCGTTGGAAGAGTTGGAGGCGTCGTAGGTGTGCCGACCGTCTCTTGCCCTCCAATTTCCGACATCTTTTTTTTCCAATGAAAGAATGCTACTCATGTAATGGAATGTTTTCTCGTTTTGCTCCATTTTTCCCGAATTTTGTAGAGCCATTTTGAAGGGTTTTCGTCCGCCCATTGTTGGGTTCTCGAAAGCGGGATTCTTTCGTTTCGCCTGCTATTCATGGAGCTCTGTTTGGCTGGTTGGGAGAGAAAGTGGAGGACACGTGGCAGTCGCAGTCCGGAAAATTAGCTGCGGACTTTCACTTTCCAAAGGGACGGTGAGCAACGCAATTGCGGGTGTCTTCACCTGCGCCATGCCGCTTGCAGAAATTGTTCACATCGTCCGGGAAACGGAAAACGGAAAACGGAAAACGGAAAACTCCATTTTTAGCTGATTTTCTTGGATAACATTATTCCGGCTTTGAACTGCTACGGCCATCCACAATCAACCGGCAAGACTCCATGGTTTACCCACCCTTACTGCACACTCAATTCGGCGGCTTCATTGTGGCTGATTTTCAAAGCCTCTCATGTGTAAAAAACTCTCCTTTGAACAGAATGAGAGCAGAGGAGGCTCGGAAATGAGAAAGAGTGAAGAAATGAGGAGAGAAAAATGGGGATTCGGGGCAGAATCACAGCGTTAAAGATGAATAAATTTGTGGGTTCAAGTCACTGGACCGCCCCTTGAGCGCAAATCTCCATCCCCAAGCCTTTCAGGTTGTGAACTTTATTTCTTTTAATTTCTTTTGATGGGTTTTATCTGGGTTTATTCATTTCTATGTGGGATTTGAATCTGGTTTGGAGATATTATGTACTGAACTAGTCCTCTACTGAGGTTTAATTTGGTAGGATGTTTCTGTTGGTTAAGAAAATACTACAAGTTCAGTGCCCTTCAGATGTAAGCAGATACCTGAACCCATGCAGATACTTGGGAATTTCTTGAAAGTGCAATTCTGGTGTGGTGACAGCATGTTCCATGAAAATGGGAAGAGTGGATTATAGCACACAATAAATCTACTTGAATGTGACATGATAGAAGACGAACTGATTTTGAAATGTCTATCAACAATTGGACCTAAGGCCTTTGGTTTTACTTCTTCGTTATTTTTAGATGTTCCTTGTCATTCTTACTTCTGCAATGGGAAGTTCTGATATATTCATGAAAAGCAGTTCTTTTTTTGATAATATGGATATCTGAACCTTTAAACCGACTGCTTCCTACAGATTTTTTTTCTTTAGAAGGAAGTTCTTTTCTCTACTCTCAATGATATTCCTCATGATTGGTATTGATTATTGGAGAATACCAGGAAAATTCTGTTAATATAATAAAACAAAATAGGCATTCTTAATTTCTTATTGATATTCAAAGGAAGTCGGTCGCTTGCTTGTTGCTTCTGGGATTGAATCGCAGAAGGCCACTCCCAGGTATCGCCATCCCAGAATCTGTTAAAGCGCTGTCCTAGAGACATGATTTTGATTTTTGACCTCCAAATGAGAATTTGCTCAGCCCATTGTCGTCCTAGTTCAGTTTCAAATATGTTTTAATAACTTGATTTTTCTTAAATACTATTCTTCTATTGAACAATGTAGAGAAAATGTTTAATTTCCATTTTTGTTGGAAAATGAAAATTTTATTATTGTAGATGGTCTACTAGAGATACTCCAATATGACTCCAATTTAGAATAAGAGTTTTAAAGCATAAAGTGTCATTTCCCCATACAAAATTTTTTTCTTCCTCATTACATTGTGTTCTGTTATAAATTCTACCTAATTTTATTTTTGAATGGTGTCAGGCTTTCAGCTTTTCTGCAGACAATGTGTTATTGAGAGAACGTTGAATTTTAAGGGTTGGTCTTATTCAGAACTCTATAGCTCTTCCAACAACTGCTCCATTTTTGGACCAAAAAATGGCTATCTTTCGGAAACTGGAGTCAACATACCATGCTTACAAGCGTGAATCTTTTAGGTTGCTCTATATAGACCATAGTTCATTGTTTTGAAGGTCTCAATGAAAATTATCATTTGGTATACATTCAGGAAGCATGGATGATGCCCTTTGCTATATGTACTCGTGAAAAGCAATGGTGTGAAATTGCAGAGCCTGTTTATGGAGAATCCACTTAATTTCTTCAGGAAGTTGCAGGCAAGTATAACATAGTTATTATAAGCCCAATTATTGAGAGGGATGTGAATCATGGAGAGACAATGTGGAAGGAAATACAGGGCTTCCCATATTTGAGATAGCTTATGGAAAAATTGCCAGTAACATATGTTATGTGAGGCACCATCCTTTGAACTGGTAGACCTTTGGCTTGAATGGTGCAGAGATTGTCTTCAACCTTTCAGCTACTGTAGTGAACTGAGTGAACCAAACATGGCCCGTTGAGGTTCTTCCTTACCCTAATTGCTTTGTTTTTCACATTTAATTCATGATGAGGAATGTGCTAATTCATCATAGTTGATGTAAAGTTTAGCCTTAAGATATTCAGTGCCAGTTGGGATGTGGATTATTTCACAGGCACGTAATGCTGCAATAGCCAATAGCTGTTTTGTTGGATCAATAATTCGTGCTGGGACAGAGATATTCCCTAATCCATTCACTTCAGTTGATCTGAAGCCACGACATACAGATTTTGGACATTTTTATGGATCCAGCCACTTTTCAACACCAGATACTTCTTGCACTGCCGTCATAAGGATGGCTTGCTGATCATGGACATGGATCTTAATCTCTGTAGGCAACTGAAAGACAAATGGGATTCAGAATGACTGCTTGTTATTAGTTTCATGCAGACTTGCTTGCTCATTATTTGAAATTCGACTTTGAACCCCAGGTCATTTCTGGTCCTTTATGGCACAAGAAGTGTTCTTCTGTTCCAAGTCCCAATAAGGATCAAAATTTGAATCGAGTGCAAATGATGGTGAAGGTGAGATTTGTCTTAATAATATACCTTGTAAATAGGAAAAAGATTCACACAAAATCCTGCTCTTTTGATTCGGCAGATATATATATATATATATGTAAATTGGTATGTGGTATGCATCTACTACTTCGATGATATATAGTTATTGTGAAGGTGAGAGTTCACTGTGAAATAAGATTGTGTCTATTATCAACTTCATATTAAATACTTGTTGCTTAAAACATAACATTTAAGTAGATATTATCAATTCTGCATGACATTCAGCGAAGTCATGCACTTAAAACCAATATGGACCATTAAATATTGCAGTCTACACCCTGGGCAGAAATCAACCTTCCTTTTCCTGTAGATGGATCAACCCCAGCCATCAAATCCCAGCAATACGACTCCATGTCTGAAAATCTTAACCCCCATTTTTCCGAAAATACCTCAAAATCAATTCTCAAACTGAAGTGCATCATTCCATTTTCTAGCTCCCTGCTAATCTCTCCGATGACGACTTCATCTTCCACACCAGATTGATCAGCCTCCAATTCTGTGTTCATGAACCTCATCTGAACCGTTTTCGTTTCATTTGCCCTTAAAGAAAACGCTTTTTCTTTTGCTGCTGCAAGCTTATTGTCCATGTTTCTGTAAAAGATGCAACCTTCAACCTGGTCAAAGTACATGACGTCTCCAGATGTTGAATTCATATCAAAATGCTGGAATCTGATGTTAGTGTCCCAAACTGCCAGCATTTTTGAGGCAGAGATGTTGAGGTTGGATATGGAAAACGAGTTGATTTCTAGCTCAGGTATTATTTGACAGTCAGAACTGGATGCAAATATCAAAACGAAAAACCCCACCAGAATTACCATTCTCATTACAATAGGAAAATCTTCATCTGATTGGCATATGCAATTTTCACAGTTTGAAGAATTAACTTCTAGAGGAACGTTAGAGGCATTTAGGGGCAAAGGTGAAAATTCATAAGGGTAATCATCCTTCGTAGGATTAGACAGATTCTGTGTTCGGAAAGTCATTGTGCTTTTGAAATTCAAGGAAAGGACGACAAGAAGCAAGAGATTCAGAAACTAGAAATTTGGGATGTTGGCTACTATTTTTTCTCACGTTTTATAGAATAAAACCGTAAACAGAAAGTAGGCCATTGATGTATCAAACTAACTCTACATAGTTTGTCTAAAGAATCTTCTGAAGGAAAGGAACTGATTTTAGTTGAATATACTGGAACATTTCCATATATAGTGAATTGTTTGTTACAAATCATTTTGCAAATTCCTGATTAATCCTTTTTCTTTCTCTTTTTGTTATAACAATATACCTTTTTTAAAAAAAACTAACTAACTAGACTACTAACTAACACCATTAAAGATAGGCATTTCACTCTGCTCTGTTTCTCATAAAATCCATTGTTATACTCTTTTTGTAGTCTGCTTAAAATTAAATACCAACAATTTTCTCAGGAAAATTCTTACATTTTTTAACCTAGGAAAACCATGCAGAATCTGGAGGGTAGGAGTTCCTAGATGTCCTTAATTTTTATAGCAAAGAAGAAATGGAAGTAACAAACAAGTCCTTTGCAACATGAAAGGAATCTACAAGTACGATATAAAGATTGATTTTTTTTTTTCTTTTTTTAACAACTTAACATGTGGAAGATAGAGCTCGCTAAAATTGGCATACTAACATTATCAATAAGAGGAGTGTTGTTGCATGAAATAGCTTAGGTGAAGAATGGTATAACACAACTGTAATGATGATGATTTTGATTAGAATACTTGCAAGACTTAAGGTTAATTCTTGGGATAAACACTTTAATAGTAAAGTGAGTACATAAAGGATTTTAGTGGAAGTAGGCTATTGAATCATGAAAATCAAAGATGTAATAAATCTATCTAAGAAGTGGTGGTGGAGTAAGTATTTATAGTTTTCCAAAGTTGCTTTCCATTGATGGCAAGATAATTCTTGAATTGGCTACCCATCTATAGAACATGGGTCCAAAGTTGCTTTCCAATGGGCAAATCTCCATTATGTCAATCTTGTAGCACTATGATACATTGCAACTCAATGGTGTTCAATAGATGTGCATTTAAATCTTGTATCAGAGAATTTAAGACATGGTTAGTTATGATGTCATCTATCAAGAACGAAGGTGGTAAAGAGAGGTGGTGTTATTTGGATCCATTGTTCATCCTTAAGTTGGACGTTAGGCCATTAGCTCGACAGTTGTGTTCTGATTGGTCCCTCACAAGGAGTTATTAGTGGAAAGATGAAAAGAAATGAGGAAGTAACGGATTAGCATCAAAATAATTGACAAGATCTCAAATCCACCTTGCCCCGGAACAAGAGGCAGAGACAGATTTAATTTCAAAAACAAGGTAGGGACAAATTATTTTTTAAAATTATTGGTTAATATAAATCACTATTATTTAATATATAATATCATCACATGTTAAATTTTTATTAAAAAGTGCTTAGGTGTCAATTGAATATCTAACATGTGATAATATCATACGATAAATAATAAATGATTTATTTTGATCAATAATTTAAAAAGACAATTTGTTCATATTTTTTAGAGACAAATTTGTCTCTATCCTCCTATTTAAGAGGCAAATTTAGAATTCTACCCAAAATAATTTTTATTCCTAGTTATTCCGGTAATTGTTATTGTCTACATCCTTAGGTTTTGAATTTCAAACTTCATACTAATTTAACCAAAATTAATAGTTTTTCTTTTCTTTTTTGAACATATTACAAATTGGGGAGTAGAGGGAATTGAATATAGTCGTAGAGATTGGAGGGTGCATCTATTAAAGGTAGCAAAGTTACTAAGTCGAGAAGATTAGGTGCAACCAAAATTAATAGGATATAAACAACCCAAAAATGAAATGTTGCATGAGTTAGTTGTTCAGTCTCCACGTGGATGACCAAGAATGACAAACATGTCAGAATTTTTTCAACGTTTAACATCCGATTCAACATTTTTCTAGTTAATTTTTATGAAAAATACAAAAATTAATAATTAATATAAAATATGACCTCAAGAAACCATTATTTCTTTTATATTTTCACACAAAAAAGAATCTAATTTTCTAAACACATCTTCAATATCCTCCTAAATTAATTTCTCACAGATACTTGGATTAAGTAATCCAAATAATTTGTTCAATGCAATTTCCCTTCCGGAGGAAATTGGAGATATGACTTTAACATAAGGATTATATTTAAATTAAAATTAGTTAATAATAAATAGAGTAATTATCCTTTTTATTATATTTTGATGTGATATAGGTTAAATGTGAACATCATATCTTATCAAGTGACTTAATATAATCCTTTACATGTAGATGTGATATAAAATTTGGATGCAATGAGTTTAAAATCATTATTAAGGTTTGAACCAGGCTTTCGAGTCTAGTGGTTCGTCTTTAAATCTTAAGTGTTTGTATTAGTTGGTTGAGAGTTTCGCTTTCACCAATGTTTTGATAAAATATCTCTCAAATTTCTCCAATGTTAAAAAAAAAAAAATTATTATTAAGGTTGAAAGCATGAAAAAGACTAGGAGAGAAAATTAAAAGAAATGCACATTTTTTGGTACATAGAAGCAATTCATTCTATTATAATATTGAGATATGTAGAGAGTTATATATATATATATATTTTAAAGTTTACAATTTGAGAGATTGAGGGAAGGAGATTTTTCAAAGCATTGGTGGGGCTCAAAACCCCGACCAACTAACTCAAACTCCTTAAGGTCTGAGAATAAATCACTTGAGTTTGAAAGTCTGATTTATATATAAAGAGTTACATTTAATTATAGATAATATAACAAACTAAATCAAATACATCAACCAATATCTTATATACAATTTATTTATTTTTTTGAGAATCAAATTGATATATATATTAATATAAAGTCAATCAATCATTATATTATTGATTTTCTACATCCTTTTAGAATATTATTAAGTCTCATGTAGTATGAGTCCGGT